GGGTGGTGGCTGCGCGGAGGGCGGCGTCCAATCGTCTACGGGTGGTGGCTGCGCGGAGGGCGGCGTCCAATCGTCTACGGGTGGTGGCTGCGCGGAGGGCGTCCAATCGTCGACGGGTGGTGACTGCGCGGAGGGTGGCTGCGCGGAGGGTGGCGTCCAGTCGTCGATGGATGGTGGCTGCGCGGAGGTTGGCGTCCAATCGTCGACGGGTGGCGGCTGCGCAGAGGGCGGCGTATGATCATCTCGTGGCCGCTTTGCCTCGGGTTCGTTGATCATCGGATCCAGGTGCTGCTTCAAGGGCAAGGGCGATGATACGCCCTCGCCATCGCTAGACGATGGAGACGAGCCTGCCACCTCGGCAAGCAAACCCTCGGCTTGAGCAGCAGCCAGGAGCTCGTCCGTAACATCAACGCGGGGTTGTTCGCCTGACGCCAAGTGGCTCGTATAGACCCCAACTACACACTCCATGGATAGAGTGCCTTTGCCCTGGCCGGAGAAACCCGATGGCCGCGTCCCCAGTACGGCCGCCTCTTCAACGGCCGCCTCTTCAACGGCCGCCTCTTCAACGGCCGCCTCTTCAACGGCCGCCTCTTCAACGGCCGCCTCTTCAACGGCCGCCTCTTCAACGGCCGCCTCTTCAACGGCCGCCTCTTCAACGGCCGCCTCTTCAACGGCCGCCTCTTCAACGGCCGCCTCTTCAACGGCCGCCTCTTCAACGGCCGCCTCTTCAACGCACCCCTCCCCGCTCACTAGATCCTCGTCTAGTTCATCAAGGGATGGATCGTCGTTGTCGTGAGCTTGCTGGGAAAGCCTGATGACGGCTGGCTCGTCGACCTCGATGCTACTAGACGGATCGAGATCTGCACCATCGACAACTTCCAGAGGGACAAGACCAAGGGAGGCTGCAAGGTTCCTCGGATACAGATCCTCGACTGATTCTAGCACCGTCCTGACCTTGTGTTCCATGGGCCCTGGCTTGACCCACTGGTCAAATGAGACATGGTTGCCGCCGTCCAGCTGACGCTCGGCGGCAATGAGGGCTCGGACCTCCTCGCGAAGCTCCTCCTCGTGGAGCCAGCCCGCCGGCTGCGAGACCCGAGGATCGGCCGACATGGAGACCAAGACCTCGGGTGGTGACGGGGTCGAGCTGTCGAGGTCGTCCTCCGAGGGCGACTGTTGCATACGCCTCCGGCGACGGCGGCGCGTCTCGTCCCTCCAGAGGTCCGCCATGCTGTGCACAAGTTTCATATTTGGGTCCAGCGGGGCAAGCCGCTCAACAAAGTCGTGGTGCAGGCGGCGCTCCTTGACTTTTCTTCGATTCAGAATGTCCTCAACACAGATGTCGACCTCGATGGCGCAGTGGCTGGCACGCGGGAGCGAGCAGTCGTCGTCAGTGATTAGGGCCGGGCGGATGGAGCGACTGTGCCAGATGTGGGCCGACTCTTGGGGGACATGATCATGGTCGTCGGCGAACTGGGGAACAGGAGTCCGGAAGGAGAACTTGCCAGCCTCGAGGTAGGCACAGCCGTACAGGTTATAGTCGGTCATGAACTGCAGGAGGTACTGTAGATGAGCCTCGTATGGCTGGAAGCGGCGCTTCATGATGACGCCCTGGTGCAGCAGGTCGGCCAGGCGGGATATGACTGCTGGATTCAGCATGTAGATCTTGAGGTAAAACTTGTAGCCCACGTGGAAGCCGTAAAAGGGCACGCCCTTGACGAGAGTGATGCGGGCGACATATTTGGGCGGGTCCCGTCCGTGGACGACCTTCTGGCGGTAGCTCACGGCCAAAGCGTGGTCTATGGACAGGTGCAGGCTGTAGATGTATGCACCGATATTGGTGGAGGCCGCCAAGGTGCCGGGGTACTCGACGAAGAGGTAGGGAAAGGCGCCGTGGATATGCGCGCACACCTTCTGGCCTGTCTCGGTCGAGCCAAAGACGAGCACGACGGGGACCCGTGGCTCCTTGCTCAGTTGCGATGCGCGCGTGTCCTTTCGCAGCCGCGGATCATATTTGGTCGGGATGGATTGGTAGTGGTCGATGCAGTTCAGCCTGACCTTGAACACGTCCATGTCCATGCTGGCTGTGGGCGGTGGCCCCTCATGGCGATATAGTACCGAGGTGGCGCTTGTATAGAGGTTGAAAGCCAACCCGCGTCCAGGTGATGTCACCCGCTGGGGAACGCCAGATCACGTGCAGCAACTACCTAGTGGATGCAGGCTCCCCACTAATTTTCGGCGCGAGATCCTCCTAATCGCCGCGACCTTGGGGAGAGAGCACTTACCTGGGGACCCCTTTTTCATTGCACAAGACGGGAGCCAAACAGGCCCGACACTCGGATAGAATACTTGGTCTATCAAGCCCGCATCTCTCAAGCCCGCCCGCGCAGTTCAACAAAAACACGCATTCATCCTGGCCCCAACTCTGCATCGTCACACCCACCGTCCTCGCTCCGCGCATCGCCATGCCTCCTCCGCCTCCGCCTCCGCCCAGGCGAAATGTGGCCGGCGGGGCCATGTCGGCCTCCAAGGAGGAGAACGTCTATATCCCCAACTTCATCAGCAAGCGGCCATTCTACGCCGGAGACGAGGGCGACAATACCGATTACCTTGACCACCAGCGCCTACAAAAGAAGAATGAGGACACGGCATGGTACGACCGCGGCAAGAAGGCTGGCCCGGCAGCCACCAAGTTCCGCAAGGGCGCGTGCGAAAACTGTGGCGCCATGACACACAAGGCGCGCGACTGCGTCGAGAGGCCGCGCCAGAAAGGTGCCAAGTGGACGGGCCACGACATCCAAGCCGACGAGCTGGTTCAGGACGTCAAAATGGGATGGGACGCCAAGCGAGACCGCTGGAACGGCTACGATGCGTGCGAGTACCGTGCCGTTGTGGAAGAATACAACCAGATGGAGGAGATGCGCAAGGAGATGCGCGCGCGCGAGGCCGAGGCCGAGGGCCGCGAGCTCGAAGACGACGGCGACCACTACGCCGAGGAGTCAGACATGAGCAAGCACCAGCCCACGTCGACACGGCAGCTGCGCCTCCGCGAAGATACGGCCAAGTACCTCTTGAACCTGGATCTCGAGTCGGCAAAATACGACCCCAAGACGCGCGCCATCGTTGACGCGGGCGCGACCAACGACGAGGCCGCCGCGCTGTTTGCCGAGCAAGGCTTCCTAAAGCAGTCGGGCGACGCCGCCGAATTCGAGCGCGCGCAGCGTTACGCATGGGAGGCACAGGAGAAGGGTGGCGACACGCGCCAGCACCTGCAGGCGAACCCCACGGCGGGTGAGTTTATGCGCAAGAAACTGCGCGAGGAAGCGCAGCGCCGGCAGGAAGAGCTCGACCGCGAGCTGCGGGAGAAGTATGGGGGCGAGACCAAGACCTTGCCGGACGAGGTGCGCCGCATGGCCGTCGCCGAGTCGGAGCAGTTTGTCGAGTACGACGAGATCGGGTTGATCAAGGGGGCGCCGCAACGAAAGGCGCGGTCAAAGTACCGCGAGGACATGTTTCCCAACAACCACTTGTCCATTTGGGGCAGCTGGTGGTCCAACTTCAAATGGGGCTACGCATGTTGTCACTCACTCATGCGTAACAGCTATTGCACCGGCGAAGAGGGCAAGGCCGCCTGGGAAGCCGCAGAGCGGCAGCGCACTGGTGTCGGCCTCATCGAGGCCGAACCCGAGGACCATGAGAATCACAAAGAGCCAGATAAGAAGGAGCGGTCACCATCACCGGAAGCGGTTTCGCCTTCAAAGTCGAAGAAGCGGGTGGCAGGGGAGATGACGGATGCTGTTTCGGAGACTGAGATGGACGAATACCGAAGGAAAAAGACAGCGGTTGATGACCCGATGGCCAAATATTTAGGAAAGGACGAACTTGTGCACTAAGAGGTGAGCAGAGAGAGAGCGTGTCGTCTTGTTGGTGTATCTGAAATATACTGGCAAGACCGTCGGCTCTTTTGTACGCCCAACGTGGACATTTAGATATTCGCATTATACTGCCAGCTTCCTGATGAGATGCCCCGCGATGTATTTGTATATTCCTTGTCCCCCTTCGCTCTCAACCTTTGCTCCCAACCTCGAGGTATTATTCTCCTCCCAGAGCATCGGTATAGAGCCGTGGAGGCCCAGTGCCGGTTGCAACGCCGGTTCCAGTTGCCCAGGCGCCTACCAGGGCGCCCGCCGAACCGCCATTGATCGTGTGATGACAAACAGAGGGTGGATGCGCTTGTTTTGTCCAATGCCTTCGTGTGGCAAATTTCCTTGCTTGCCCTCCATCCGTGCAATGGCCAATCTGGCAAAAGTTCTATATGCTAAACCTCCTCTAATTTGAACAACAACGGTTAGGCTCCCCAAACGCTAAACACCGACACACATTAACTGCCCCTCCGCGACGAGCCTGGGCGGGGGCCCGTCGCTAACACTTTTCCCTTATTCGCTTCTTATATACTGGTGCCGGTCTGGAACGACGTAATAAAGGAAGCCGAAGCAAGCGCAACTTGTAGCAACGGTGTTTCGCGGCCAAAAAGAGAACGAACCGATGGGGGTGTAGTAAGGCCCCAAAGCTGTAACCGCGGTAGTAACAGGGCGGAGTAGTGTGCCGAGCGAAACGAGGATACGATATATATAAATTCGCTCTTGGGGCTGAGCAAAAAGCAAAGTTAGCCAACCTGAATAGCCTTAATAGCGAAGAGGATGAGTATGAGGGGCTCCAAAAACTCACAAGCTGGCGCCCTCGGGGGTCAAAGCTTATGGTGACTTCAAAAACGACAACGAAAAATGATACAACAGGTTCAAGAACCTTGTGTGATGCTTTGTATCCTCGACGCCGGCCGACGCAGCAGGCGGGGCCCGGCAATGTCCCGTCGCGCAACCGAGCTTTGACTTGATCCGTCCCTCACGGCAGAGCCTGCTTGGGCCGTGTTTGGACATGGACAGGAGGCAGCAAGGGCAGGCCTCTTGTGCTGCACAAGGCGTTCGGGAAACGTGACGTACAAGACGCTGCACATGTACTCGAGTGTACCCAGTGTCGGCTGACGCAGGCGTTGAAGATGCTTGATCTTGCATCCGTTTCCGCTTAAGCCTTCTCAGTCCCTTCTCGAGACAGTCAAATGTGCGTCGATCGATCAACAGCACCTTCTCGGAGCGCATCTCTGGCGCTGATGGGGATAGGGGCGGATGACTTTTCGGCTGCCCTTACTGGGAGGGGACGCTACTCCGGCGGGGGATTTAGCAGTGGCATCGAGACCGGGGACATTTAAAGCCTACGATAACGCGAAAAAGAAAAAAGAAAAAAAAAAAAAAGGTAAAGAAAGGAAACAAGGGTGAGGGTAGGTGAAATCATATAAAGTCAACTTACCCTGCCACGATTTCATCGCAACCCCGCCGATTCGGCTCTGATCTGGCAGATCTCGGCCTTTGTCTGGCTGATGTCGGCCCTGAGCTGGTCGACTTCGGCCTTGATCTGGCCGACATCGGCATTGACCTCGCTGCCGTCGGCTTCGGACCGGCTGCCATCGGCCTTGCCTTGGAGGATGTCGAGGGTGTCGAGCAGCTTGTCCAACCTGCAATTGAACGTTTGGAGCCGTTCGACCTTGGCGCTAAGGCGCTGCATCTCTTCGAATACTTGGGCCATCATGGCAGCCTCGCTGTCAGACGGCTGTGGCTCATCCATCCTGGGCAGCTTTGACACGCCTTTACCGCTCAGTGAGCCGGATTCGAACCTAGCAATCAATGTGACACAAAGTCCGGGTATTATGAAGGGTTGGCGTGAATTTTATTGAGTGGTCGGACTTGGCTGGGCAAAATTGAGCGGACTGGCTGGGAGTGAAGCCGAATTCGCCATGCTGCGCGCGTCATCAGCGCGTCATGCGGGCGCAGAAGCGAGCTGTGTCCAGGAAATGGAGAGTACCTTGGAAAGGCTAGGTCCGGTGCTGCTGGTAGTCGGCGTCTAGGCTATCTGCCCGCGCCCTCGGACCTGATCAAGACCGACTATGCGCAGATAGCTGGCGGTTGTTTGCTGAGGCAAGGCTCCGGGCGCCTGGCAAGGTTTGGCGTGGTCCCCCAGGTCGAGTGAGCCCCAGGCGGGAACCGAGTAGTAGCAAAAGCTTGAAAAGGCAAGTGGCAGGGCAGCATGTGGCTACGAAGCTCTTGTCGCGGCCGGCTAGAAATTTCGAGCGGGACCTCTGGCCGTCGCGCGTCTTGCTGGGGCAGTCACGGTGGATGTGTGGGTGCGGGTGGGAGCAGATCCTTGGCGGGCAATGAAATGCGTGCGCTCAAGTCTTTGACCAACGGGCCGTCGACCGCTGGTGGGCGAGTCTGGATGCATTTGTGACTGGCGCGTGCGCGTGCTGTGTGGCACCTCGGTTGGCAGCCCTCACGGCAACGTCACCCAACATGGGTGAAAGCGCGCCCGAGATGCCTCCGTTTAACCGTGCCGGCATCCCTCGATTCAGCAGCAACCCCTCGATTCAGCAGCAACTCGACCATGGCTGATGTGTTTGAAGAGGATGAGGAGGACGAGGCCAAGGCCGCTAAGAAAGACGAGGGCTCCAGCTCTGTCAAGGGCGATGGGCCAGCTCATGACGTCGGCGCGGCGAGCATAGACATCAGGGTCACTGCCCGACGTACCACGCTCGCCTTGTGATCGTTGCGGTTAGTCGCCACCACGTTCTCCGTACCGATATTGTGCCGCCCTTTTATTCATTTTTTTTGCCCCAAAAGCCTATGGTCGGTTTTAAAAAGCCCGTCGAATGCAACCGAATCCGTCGATAACCTGGGCGGGCAAAGCCTGGTTTGGAGTTTTTATAAAGGTTTACCAGGATGGCGAGGGTAACGTTTAAATACGGGAGTCCGGATTCTGGCTTGCTTGGGAATTTGATAAATTCGCAGAGTGGCAAGCCGACAAGTCCCAGCCAACGGGCAAGATGCTCACGGTCTACCTATCTGAGCAAGAAGTCCAACAGTACCTCGACATTGTCCCACCCGGCTCGGTCAGGATCGCATGCTACAACGGCCCAAGGTTCTTGACCCTCTCCGGAGACCAGGAAGCTATCATCGGCATCGAGAAGGAGCTCAAGAGGAAAGGTCTCACCAGCCACCTGGTCAACGTCCAAGCAGCCTACCACTCGCACCACATGAACGCGATAGCCGGCAGCTACAGCCAAGCGATTGGACAAATAGATATGCAGATGCCGCCCGTCGATGGGGCCAAGATGTACTCGAGTTAAACCCATTCCCAAAGTTACCCTGTTGTCAACGCAGTGTCCACGAAAGTAAGCAGTTTTCCATGCGCTCTTTTTGCTAATGATGCTACAAGCATATGCAGCCGCGATCTCGCCTGACGAGTGTCCCACAACAGCTGCTGGCATGATTTTTCCATTGTTTGCCAGCTCATCCGCTTGCTGTTATTTGGCTTTGTTTGCTGGCTTTTTCAAGACTGGACTCTTGCCACGCCGCAATTCCTTCCGAAGCTTCCGAATCCACCGAATTGCCAACTCGCTGCAGCCCCTGGTTTGCCTTTAGCCTTCCAAACAGGTCCGGAAATAGCAGCGGGACGGGGACGCCGGCCGAGGGCGACACGATTTCGACCGAGATGGTGGCGGGCACAGGGGCAGGCGCCCTGGGCTCCTCGGCGTCGGTCATGGCGGATTGCGCGTTGCGTTGCGATTTCGTAGATGGTAGACTTGTGTTGCACTATGGCAGCGATCGAGGGCTGTCCGAGTACTGCGGGTTCTGAGTGATCTCGGAGAAGGTCGACGAAGGCTAATTCCAAAACGATCTTTTAACTTTTCCTTCTTTTCCACTAAATTCTTTATCAACACACGTCACCTCCAGCGGCTCTGTGGGCGTGCCGTTTAAAAATGCGTGTTACTGGCCAAAAAGAAATTAAAGCACTCCATTTGTTTCCTAGGTGCTGGGGTTGTTAAAACGTATCAAAGCATAGGTGTAGACTTACTCCATACATCTGATCTTGTGCGAGTTGAGCTTTGCGAATAAATCACCACAGCTTTGGCCGGCGAGGGTGTAGCGCAGGGTCACACGCGGGGGCTACCTGCTTCCAGCATAAGGCGAGAATCTGTAAGCTCTTTTGTCGACGCTCGCCGCTGCGACAATAGGGAGGAGGGGTGGACTTGAGGGTCTCAACTTGTGCCAGCCGCGAGATATGGTAAGATGTGGTGATATGAGACGGGACGATACGGGGGCGCCCGCAAAAGTCCCGACGTGAAGATAACAAACCTGATCCCGGTGCATGTTGCAAGCCGCCCAGGGTGGGAAATGTAACTGTGCCGAATCCCACCTGGCGGAACAATTACAAGCAGGTGCCTTGGTTCCATATGCTAAAAAGGGCGACCCAGGGTTGGCTCTGGTCCTGGACATTGGAGAGCGAACCGGCAGTTTGCCCTCCTTGTGCCAGCATTCGACAATCTGGCGGCATTCCTCGCGCAAATCTAAATTCCCCATACACGCTTTTAACATGTGGATAGCACGGAGGGCGGCCGCCGGCCTCCAGCACTTGGCGGACCTCATCTCCAATCTGGTGAGTCTTTTTGTCTTTTCTCCCGAGTTTAGGGGATGTGTATATCTCGGGAGTAAGTAGAATGGCCATGACAAGGCGGGGGAAAGGAAGCAAAGCGTTCAGGAAAGCCCCCGGCCCCAAATGTTATTCGGCGGATTGCGTCCCTTATAACCAAAATCACCTGCACACGTCTATCGCGCACGCTGGGGGAGGGAGGAGGGAGCGGGTGGGCGCTGGTGTTGCTGTCAGGTGCTTCTCCCCTGAGCGACAGGCGCGTCCGGGTTATCCAGCTGTTTGTAATTCTCTGCATGTACGGAGGTAGGAGGCACCACCATGACAAAATCGTTGAGACGGCAAAATCAATTTTTTCCTGCCAACTCCACCGCCCTCAATCCAACCCACGCACAACAAAGCCTCACAACCATGTCTACAGAGCTTTCTACGCCTAAAAAAGCACGCGTGCAAGCCGTATGCGATTTCCTTGATACAGAAAAGCGTCCCTACAGTCACAATGCCGTCTTCCGCTGGGCTGATAGCCCCTGAAAAGTGCCCCTTTTTTTTGCCGTCTCGACGATTTTGTCATGGTGGTGGGAGGTCACTCGTGAAGCGAGGGCAGGGGCCACGTGTAGGCGGATTCGAGGTGAGAAGGTTGACACGTGAGAACGTTGAAACGGTAAAAACGTTGAAACGGCACAAGATGAGTGCGGGCGCTTCACAAGAGAGGCAAGCACCAAGAAACTACTTTTCTAATGTGTGCGACTTTTCTAATGTGCGACTTCCCTAACGCGCTGCACTGTTAGGCAGCCACTGAGCGTGGGACTCCACAGCCCATCATGAGCCTGTTGTCGCGGTCGAATCATAACCGCCCTCTGATTGATTGCCCGGATTTTTAGCTGCCAACACACCCCTTCAACTCGCCCCTCCGTCGCTTGCCTTTTCTCTGCCTTCTCCCTGCCCGCTGCTTGCATTCTCTCGCGTTTCCAACCCACTTCACGCTCAGCATTCCAGTCGTTATTTGAGATACCCAGCAACAGATGCTCGATACCCGTCCATTGTATTTCCTCGTTGAATTCCTCGTTGAATTCCTTTTTGAATTCCTTACTTTGTCCCGGCGATCCCTCTTTATTTCGTCTCTCACTCGCTAGCTGGCGCCCCTCGCCGCGACCGACTTTTTTTTCCATTCATCCATGCCCGTTTTCCCGCCCTCGTCCTTGTCTCTCCTCTCACCGCTTGACTCGGCAGCCCAGAAAGGGTAGACAACCCAGAAAGGGTAGAGCAGAGTTTCTCCCACCCGATCAAGTCATTCACCTTTGTTTACGTGAGCCTCTCTTGATTGCTTCAACTTGATTGCTTCAACTTCCCGTTTTACGGGCATGGTGCACCATGCCTCCCAAAGAACATGACCCAGAATCGTCCGTCGCCGACACCACGGTCGATGATTCCTCGCGCGAGAAATACAGAAGCAGCCGGAGCGAAAGGGGAGAAAGGGATCGCGACCGCGACCGAGACTGGGATCGAGACGACGAGAGAGATGGCAACAGAGAGCGCGAAAAGACTCGGGACAGAGACCGGGACCGACCTCGAGATCGAGACAGGGACCGCGACAAGGACCGCGATCGATACAGAGACAGAGACAGAGACAGAGCGGGCGACCGAGACCCAGACAAGGACAAGGACCGGGAACTTCGCCACAGATCCTCGCGGTGCTCCAAGCATCGCTCTGCCACCGACAGTGATCTCCAGTCGTCCTCGCACCGAAAACGTCGCACCAAAGACAAGGACCGAGACAGAGACAGAGACGGACAGCGCCGGCAGAGAGATCGTGATGCCGACAGAGAAAGGGATAGGTCCAAGGACAGAGCCTGCGGGAACGACCTCGACACGGCATCTGAGATGACGGGCCACGTCGTTCCTGAGATCTCGCGATCTCGCCTATCGCGACCATATCCGACCTTTAGCAAGCAGCACAGCAGGGAGAGCGTCGTCGTCGCTAGCCGTGAAGATCTGTCTCAGTCTCAGCCCGCCCCAGAGGGCCGTACTCACCGCACCGACCCGCTCACTCCCGAGGCCACTGATCTTGGTGCCATTGATGATTCCAAGCGCGCCAAGCCCGCCGACAGCACCATCGGACGCAAGCCTTCCGTCTCGCGCAAGGACGAGCGGCCACCAAGTCCTCCCGAGACAAATCTATCATCAGAGCACAAAGACAGGCTGCGGTCCGAGACCCCAACATCGGCCGGGTCACGCGATAAGAACAAGGACAGGAACGCCGACGACGACAGGCCCCGTTCGAGGACGTCATGGGTCTCCAGGTCAACTTCCAAGCACGAGAGTAAAAGCAAGGTCTCGACAAAGTCCAGGGCATCCAGTCAGGCTACCCTCATATATACCTCGTTCAAGAACCCCACGGTCGAGTCGGCTCAAAGCAGCGAGTCCAAGGTGACCTCCAAGTCGCGGGGTTCGTCTCCCAAGTCGGCCAAGAGAGATGTAGCCGCCGCCACGCTAGATCCCAGCGATGGCAACATGTCACCTGCTTCTGCACAAGACTCATCGCCCAAAACCCCAACCGGAACACCCCATTTCCCCCCACCCCCACAAGTATTCCCCCACGAGAAGCCTGGGACTGCTGGGCATCACTTTGGGCCACCACCCCCGCCACCCCCGCCACCACCGATGGGAATTGTCCAAGTCCCCAAAGTGAACTACCTCACGCAAAACGGTGGTCTACAAAAGTCGGTTTCCAAGGACTTTCTTGATGCGCTGCCACGCCAGAACGGCACCAGACCATCAAACCCCCCGCTGAGTGGCTGCGAAACGCTTTTTGCACCATTTTTCGGTATACTTGATCAGTACCAAGCGGTTTTGGATAACCATGGGTCCATCGCGGTTGCTACAGGTCACAAGACCATCGCCAGGCGTATCCTTGACCGCCTAGACAATGTCTTCACCAGGGACTTGCCTGAAGATGGATGCAACTGCGTCATGTGTGAGAAGACTGGCCGCCACCAGACTTGCGGCCTTGGCTGGGGCGAGGTCCTCGAGCGGTTCAAGGGCGATAACCCTCCATGGCCTCCATTCGACCTGGCCGAGCTAGGGTCCAAGGGAATCGAAGAATCTGCTGCCGACCTTGTTCCTCCACGGCCCGACTCACCTGTCAAGATGGACCCGGACATTGCCGAAGAGTTCAGAGGCCACTACCTGCGCCAAAACAAAAAGGTCAAGGCCGCCGTAGGCAAGTGGCTAACTAGCTGCGCCGAGACGCCCGCCCCTCCTCCCCAAGAAGTGGATGATGAGACTCTCACATTCGCAATCTTGACGAGCTTGAAGCACGAAGAGCAACCCTATTTCAATGCCCTTCTTTCAGGCTCGAGAGAACTCCAGCCAGCGGTACGGGCACCGACGCCCATGGTGCGCAAGCCACGGCAGGATTTTCTCGTGCGTACGGGCCTCGCGTTACAGCGTTACTACGGTCTCCAGCAAGTCCCCCGCGACGCCGAAACGGTCGTGTACCTAGTGCGTAACCACCACATGCACCATCTGTTGCGGACGGTCAGTGATATCAACCCCTCCGAGTGGGAGCTGCTTGTTTCAGGTCGCTTCGACGGCTTCCTATGGAGCGGTGCCGACAACAGTGGAACCGCTGGTGGTGAAGACGGAGCAGCCACACCGACCACAACCGCACTTGATCTTTCTCCCCAGGGAGGAGGTCCACCAATACGGAACTTTATCACCCCGTCGGGGTATTTCTCCCCCCCCTCAAGGGGGCCAACACCTTTCAGTCGAGGGCCAACACCTTTCAGTCGAGGGCAAACACCGGCCTCATTCGTCAGTGGTGTCTCATCAATGGCGGGCGTTGTGGTACCGCCAGGAATGGGTGGTGGTGGTCCTGGTGGCAAAACGGCTGTAACAATGGACGAAGAACTCGAATTGCAGGTGCTGGCCGAGGTTGAGAGGCACATTTATCAAGGCATGGAGGCGCTTGAAAACGCGTTCGAGGCACTACATCAGAGGGCCGAGCAGGTCCGCGGAGCGTTGAGGCAACGGACCTCGGGGCTGTCGGTCGGTCTTCAGCGCAAGCGGGCCGGAGGCGGCGGGCTGCTTTCGTCAGGCCAACTTGTTGACGAAGACCTCGTCCAAGATCAGGCAGGCGGCGGCGGCGGCGACGGGGTCCACGGTGGCGACGACTTTAACACCAGCTTTGCCGTCGCCACCACCAGTGAGAGTGATTGGTGTGTCGAGGACTACGGGGAACTGAAGCCCGACGACTCGGCCAGCAACATCAGCTCCTCGCGTCACCGGCGGCCAAAGAGGCGGAACGAGAGGAGAACTCCGGCTCCAATCGAGGAGGATTATGATGAGGAGTGAGACAGCGCGACGGGGAACCGAACCCCGTGTGCAGTGCGTGTGCTCGGCTGCTCCGGCTGGCCCCGTACTGGCCCCGTACTAGCCATATGCACGTACCGTCAATCACAATTCGGTCCTTAATCCCGGAGCTACGGATGCACGCTGCCCGTTTTTGTGCCTTTGCCCTTGCCCCCCCTTGCCTTTGCCCCCCCTTGCCTTTGCCCCCCGTTGCCTTTGCCCCCCGAACCTTTGCCCCCCCGAGCTTTCTCCCCATCATAATGGAGAACTGGACCCTACCCCCGCTCTCAATCGACCCCGCTGGGAAACCCCGGCTTCAACAACCACGACCAGGGAGGAATGCGACCTCAAAGCCCTCGATTTTATACCGAGATGGGAGGCGAAAAAAATCGCCATTTTCAAAGTAGCGCCAAGGCCTAGCCTACATTTCTTTTTCAACATCAATCGCAGCACCAATATTTCAACCGTTTGCCGGCTCATTTCCCTCACAAGGCAGTGATAGCCTATGTTGATAGGTGACGCATATCACTCGCGAAGGGCATGCACTGCCAGATCGGCACCGACAAGGCCGGGCGGCTCGGCCATCGGTGGGCCTGCCGATTCGCGTCATTGTGGGCTGGGATGCTCTAAAATGGCAATCCATGCATGCCATGGGATACATACCCAGGTACCACTTCAAAAGACAGCGGACTGAACCTTGGCAACTTGGTTACCCTAGCACCGGGCCTGTTGGGTCGGTTGGCTTTCCCCACCAGAAAAACGCCCGCGTCCAGCCAAGCAGCGGCAACAGAGGCGTGGGGCGAGCACGTCATCGCGGCTACAAAGCATCCCATAGCCACCACGTTTAGCGATTTTCTCGTTTGCCGGGCCATCATTTGGACAATCCCCATGGATCCCAAAAGTGGCGCAACCCGGCACCAGCCAAGCCGTCCGACATGTCGAACTTTATTGCAGCCCCCTATCTTTTATTTTTTATTTTGTTTGGGAGAATTCCTCGGACGGGAGTCCCAAGTGCCAGAGCATACATATATATACCCGCCACCCCCCACCCCCCAAGACGACGCCGCCCCTTGTGGTAGTTTCCATCAATCCACACAGCTTACTGTCGCCATGGCCAACACACCCCACGGCGGCGTGCTCAAGGACCTGCTGGCCCGGGATGCTCCGCGGCACGCTCAGCTCTCCGAGGAGGCCGAGAAGCTGCCCGCCCTCCCCCTCACGGAGCGTCAGCTCTGTGATCTAGAGCTGCTCCTCACCGGTGGCTTTTCACCGCTCGAGGGCTTCATGAACGAGAAGGACTACAGCGGGTGCGCGCCGATGCGATACCCCTTTGTTTCTGGCTGGCCATGCGCAACTGACACAAGAGCCAACATACTAGAGTCGTCAAGGAGAACCGCCTCGCCAGTGGCGCCCTTTTCAGCATGCCCATCACTCTCGACTTGGCAAACGAGACAATCGACGAGTTGAAGATCAAAGCCGGCGCTCGTATCACTCTGCGCGACTTCCGTGACGACCGCAATCTGGCCATTCTGACAGTTGAGGATGTGTACCAGCCAGACAAGTGAGACAAGAACTCCAACGACCCCAACGACCCCTTGTTCGACAGGGAGGACCCTTTGACAGAGAGGACAATCACAGGAATTTTTGACCACTAACCCCATGGTTCCATTTCATCCAGGCAGCTTGAGGCGAACGAGGTGTTTGGGGGTGACCCGGAACACCCGGCCGTCAGCTACTTGTTCAACACAGCCAACGAGTTTTACGTGGGCGGTACACTCGAAGCCGTGAATCGTCTGCAGCACTACGACTTTGTAGATCTGAGATGCAAGTATTCCTTCCCTGAAGGGTTTCTATTCCTTCCCTGAAGGGTTTCAGTGTCATCCGCGGTTACCAGAGACCAGCAGGCTGACAGGTTTTGAACAAAACAAAGACACCCCCGCGGAGCTTCGCACCCACTTTGATAAGCTTGGCTGGAGCAGGGTCGTGGCCTTCCAGACGCGCAACCCGATGCATCGCGCACACCGTGAGCTGACGGTGCGGGCGGCGCGCTCGCACCACGCAAACGTGCTCATCCATCCCGTTGTCGGACTGACCAAGCCTGGCGACATTGACCACTTTACGCGCGTGCGTGTGTACAAGGCGCTGCTGCCCCGCTACCCCAACGGGATGGCGGTGCTGGGCCTGCTGCCGCTGGCGATGCGCATGGGAGGCCCGCGCGAGGCCATCTGGCACGCCATCATCCGCAAGAACCACGGCGCGACGCACTTTATCGTGGGCCGTGACCACGCCGGGCCGGGCAAGAACAGTAAAGGTGTCGACTTTTACGGCCCCTATGACGCGCAGCACGCTGTCGAAAAGTACAGGGACGAGCTGGGCATCGAGGTGGTGCCGTTCCAGATGATGACGTACCTGCCCGACAGCGACGAGTACAAGCCCGTCGACACCATCGAAAAGGGGGTGCGGACCCTCAACATCTCGGGGACGGAGCTTCGGGCGCGCCTGCGCGGTGGCAGCGACATCCCCGAGTGGTTCTCGTACCCCGAGGTAGTCAAAGTGCTCAGGGAGTCGCACCCGCCGCGGTCGGCCCAGGGCTTCACCGTCTTCCTGACGGGCTATCAGAACAGCGGCAAGGACTCCATCGCCAGGGCGCTGCAGGTCACGCTCAACCAGCAGGGAGGGCGCTCCGTGTCCATGCTGCTGGGCGAGACGGTGCGGAGCGAGCTTTCGTCGGAGCTGGGCTTCAGCCGCGAGGACCGGACCAAGAACATTGGCCGCATCGCCTTTGTGGCATCGGAGCTGACGCGGGCGGGTGCCGCAGTCATCGCGGCGCCCATCGCGCCGTTTGAGGACTCGAGGCAGCACGCGCGCGAGCTGGTGCAAAAGTACGGCGACTTCTACCTCGTGCACGTGGCGACGCCTCTCGAGTACTGCGAGCGCACCGACAAGCGCGGCATCTACGAGAAGGCGCGCGCCGGCGAGATCAAGGGCTTCACCGGCGTCGACGACCCGTACGAGGTGCCCGCCAGGCCGGACCTGACTGTCGATCTGGAGAAGCAGTCGGTCCGCTCCATCGTGCACCAGATTGTGCTACTGCTGGAGAGTCAGGGGCTGCTGGATAGGCTGTGAGCAAGATGAGAGTCGAGGTGTAGATGACGGTGTGGTGTAGACCAAGATCCTACCTGATTGGCGCCTTGTGCGCCACGAGGCCCAACCTTACGTTGGGTAGAAATGAGCCGACAAACGGTTGAAATATTGGTGCTGCGATTGATGTTGAAAAAGAAATTCGCCTCCTATCTCCGTATAAAATCGACCCTCAGTTCCTGGCCCTCCTGCCGGTCGTGCCCGTTGGTTGTAACACCCGACACCTTTAACAAACTATAAGATCAGGAGCCGCTCCGCTAATTTGACGCCTGCACGGCCCTCCGGGGGCAAACCTTAAATTGCCTTGATTTAATTTTAAATGTTTAAAGCAAAAGAATAAAGTAACAATGCTTTTTTAATGTTTTAATTCGTTTTTTGGACAATACAAAAAAGCATTGAAGGCGTTAGCAAAGCCTGAAAGCGTAGCTATTTTTTTTGTTTTAACTTTATTTAAAAAAAAAGGCATATTAAATATAATACCGTTAAAGGATTTAATTTTTAAAATAACAACGTATATTAAGCTAAATTGAAAATTTTTAGCAAAAATATTAAAAATAGCAAAATTTAACGTTATGCGTTATAATTTATAAATAATAATAACGTACGATACCGTTACAAAGAATTGTACCCGGTTATAAACCATATTTCCTTTTTGGAAATTTCGAAAAATTTAAAAAATAAATACAACGTTAACCGGAATGTTAAAGTTTTTAAAAAAGTAAAAAAGGCCGTTGTATTTATCGATTTGCATTAAAAAAAAGCGTAACGCGAAAGTTAATAATGCAAAAAGCTTAAGTAATATTTTAAATGTAACCGGTAATACCGTTAACGAAACCGGTTTTAATTTAAAAATCATTCGTAATTATTATTCGAATTTTAATGCATAAAGGTAAAGCATTGTACAAATTGCCGGCGTTTTAAAACTTAACGGTTTTAGCTTTTTGGCTAGTATTGTTAGTACAAATCTGGATTATAAGCTTATTGAAATGCTTTAAATGCGTAAATTGTATTTTTTAATTAATACGTTAGTTAAATAAATGCAAATAGTTTTGTTAAAATAAATAATTTTAGCAAGCTGGAAACGGGTAAAAATACGGGTTAATAAACTATCACAAAGTAAACAGTATATACTGTCGTAAGGAAGCCTTAAGCATAAATATTAAATGCTTAAGGCATCGAAAGAGCGGTTCCCTTGCCTGGAAGCGTATAACGCTTCCAGGCGTTAGGAAGGAAGCTTAGTAAGCAAAGAGGACAGGGAGTTACGTATATATAAAGGGCAAAGGCCTTTACGGAACCCTGCACTTTAAATCCTTTTTTCCTTAAAGCATATTAACCGGAATAGCCTTACACCGTGCTTATCCCTTTTACTTGCAACAGTTATAAGCCCGGCGACTTTTAAACCCTTTAACGTAAAGTAAAAGGCTTAACAGCACGAATTTATTTCCCTTTTATTACCTTTATTAAATTATTCCCAAACGCGCTTTTTTAAACGCATTTATCCTTTTTTTCCTTTCCGCAATTTTTTTACGAAAAAATTTTTACGCTTTTAAAATTTCCTTTAACAAAATTTTTTTTGCCGAAGCAAATTCCGTTATTAATTCCGAACGTTGCCGAAAACCTTTATTAAATTCCATTTTTTTAATTTTTACGTTTTTACGCTTTTAAAACTTCCAACCCTTTATTTTTTACCGTTTTACTTTTATAAACTTCCGGTTATTACCAATTATAAGTAGCACGAATAACAACCTTTTCGTAATAACGTTGCTTAAAAATTAAAAGCAATGGCTTACGTAATTTACGGCGCTCCGTTAAAACGCATTAATCCTAAAAATTTAAAATTAGGTTAACCTTAATTTAAAGTTCCCGAACGACGTGCAAGTTAACGAAACCCTAAATTTCGATTTTTTCGCAGCAAAAGCCCGGGCCAAACACGTTAAAAATTATAAATTTAAGCGCTTAGCTTGGCAAACGATCCTTTCGACCAAAAAAAAAAGGCTTGCTTAAAAGCTTAGCAAGGCAAAAGCAAAGCCACGCAAAAATTTAATTTCGAACTTTTTTAAGCCCTTTCGGCACTTACCAAAGGTAATTTTAAAACCAAGCATAAAAAAGCGCTTAAAGCAAAGGATACCGCGAGCAAAACCGCTTCGAAAAAAATTACAACCTTTTTTAAATGGATTAATTTTTTCGTGGACCTTATCGCGCTTGCAAACGCGCAATTAAAAGCTTAAGCTAACAATTACGTTATTTTCCGTAGCACCATTATTTGTTTAAAAACGCTTTACGCTTTTACCTCCATAATAAAAATTTAAATAATTTTTTAAAAATACCGCAACATGCTTAAAAAGGCCGCTAGCATTACAAATATTAATTAGTAATTTCCGAAATTTTAAGCGATTTTTATTTAAGCCAAAATTAAAAACGTTTTTAAAGTACAAGGCTTTACGCTTATGCTTAACTTTTTTAAGCACATAAAGCGCTTTAACCCTTTTTAAGCAAAGCGTTACCGTTAAAAAGTAGCTACGGGCAACTTTACGGAAAAAATGGATATTTTAATTACCAAATTTTTAACAATCCTTTTTTAATACCGCATTAATAATTTGGGCATTAAAAAAAAGCTTGCGTTTTTAACTTTTAAAAGCGCATTTAAAAATAAAAACGAAAAAGTTAAAAGCATTTAACGAAATAACGCAATAACGTACGAATGCCCGGTTTGCATTTAAAACCATTTTTAAAAACCGGAAAATTGTTAAAAGCTCGTTTACGTGCTTACCGGCAATTTTAAACGCTTTCGTAATAAGCCAAACAACGAAAAGTGCAAAAAAATTAAAAAAATCTTTGGAAAAAAACCGTTGGAAATTATTTAAAAAATTTTTCCTTTCCAAAAGCAAATTTAAAAATTCCGTTTAAAAAAAGCAAGCCGAAAACGCGTTAAGCTCCGGTCCCCAAACCTTAAAAAAAAATAGGATTTAAACGCGGCCGTATTTAAAATGCCTTTGCTTTAAAGCGTTTTTTCGGCCTTTAATATTATAAAAAATACTTATTTTAAAAGCACGCTATTCAATAATTGCAATTTGCTTTACATCGTTAACAATAAAAAGCGCTTTAATAAAAGGTTATTTTAATCGTTAAACGGTACCGAAACGGTTTAATGCGGCACTTAATACTTTCCGATTTTAAAACGTAGCATTCGTACGCTTTTTAACTTTTTAAACAAAAACGGAAACCTTAAGCTTTACAACGTTGCTTTGGTAAAAGGTTTTTATATTAATATTATTTCGAAAGCCCGTTTAAACGCTAAAAGGGTATGGTTTTACGGGAAAAACGCGATTTTGCGCATTAAAAAAATTACCAACGGGAAAATAATTAAACGCTTTTAGCGCAAAAATAACGTAATGTTTTATAAATACAAATTTATTGCTATTTACTTTATATTAATTACGTTATAATTTTTCCCAAAAAATACGGTTTTAACCTTTGCAATTAAAGAATTTTTACGCCGCAAACGTGCTACGCATACGTAACGTCCATTTTCGAATTTTACGAAATCGCAAAAAAATACCGCTAACCTTTGGCATTTGCGCAATGGTTATTTAAAATTACAAGCGCTAAAAGCTTTCGTTTAAAACGCCCGGAACGTTAAAATTAAAGGACTTAAACGGATCGAATGCAAAGTATGCGCAATAACTTACGTTATAGCCGTCGTTTCCAAACGCTTTATAAAAAGGGCCATGCGCCCCTTTTGGAAAGTTTGGTTTAACTTATTTAATTACTTTAAGTTAAAATTAAGGATAAATTGGGTTTTGCTATTAATAAATAAATACAACGGCAAAACCTAAAGCTTTACATTTCCAAATAAAAAGGAACCAACGGTTATTAAAGTTTTAAAGGAATAAAAAGCGTAGGTAAAAAAACAATACGAATTATTTATTGCTACTTTTAAATATAACCAAAAAAAGTCCATTATATTTGTAAAAGGGGCTTCGTGGTGCAGTGGCTCTGCACCAGGCCGGTCCCGCCAGGACCACGGGTTCGAATCCCGTCGAAACCACAAAGGACTTTTTGTTCCTTAGCCGCCCGCCCTGCTGGGCCGGAAAGAAAAAGGGGCCGTTACGCCAACGGGCTTCGCCCGAGTTAATTTTTACCCACGCATAAAAACCAACGATCCCGATAATTGATCCGATTCCGACCCCTCCAACCCCGACCCTTCCCAACCTTTCCTAGCACCACCTCGAAGGCCCAAAATGCAGAAGGTTAGGCCAAAAAGGAAGCAACGGGAGGGCCCCTGGAAGGGCCCAACCCTACCCCGACGAATGCACGCATAAACCGACGAATTCGATTACCATCCCTTTCTTTTTTAAATATTAGCCACAAGCCCTAACCCCTTGCAGCCTTAGCCCTAATCCCAACCTTACCGCCCCAAATAGCCCAAAACGCTAAAAGCCAGGCCAACAGGACGGTAACGGGAAGGAAAAGGGCCGGGTGCTAAAAGGGCCAGGTTAAGTGCGTGGGAGGGCCCCCCAAACGCCTTAAACAAGCCTGGGCAAAGAAACCGGCAAAGGACCCCTTCAACCGAAATGGACCCAATTCGTAGCCCCCCCGGCAAAAGGGCCAGCCTGGCAAATCGAACAACGAACCAACCAACCAACCATAAGCAAGCAGGACGCGGCCTTATCGGCCCCTTGCAAAGGGGGCTGCACGCGGGAAAACGGTTAATTCCCGGGTGGAGCCTTTACGAGCAATCGAGCGTGGAAAAAAGTAAGCGTTAGCCAAAGCGGTTTAATACCGCTACGGAAGCGCACCGCCAAAAAGGCGGAAACGCAGGCATAAGGTTTTTCTTTTTTAGGCCCAACCCAAAGGTTTTCCCCCATTTGCATGTACTTAGCCGCAGCACTAAGGTTTTTTCCATAAATATAACAGCGTATAAATACAACAATATTTGTAAAAGGGTTTTCGGAATACGAAAAATGGGCTTAAGCTAAAAGCATCGTTATCGAAACTTTACCGTTATACATTTACGAACCCAACGGGATAATTAAGCGCACGGAATAAAACGTTATTACAAAAGGGATACGCATGCGCAAAAGCGCAAAATTTTTTAAATATTTATGGCCGAAAAC